TTATGAATATAAAACAAACAATTTAAAACCACTAAAATAAATTTAGATCAAATTTCCAAACACCCGAGAATCTTTGCAGTTATCACGCACGTTTCCAACAACAACTACAATAATAACAACATTAATACGTATAAAGAATTTAATTAATTAAAACGAAAAAAAAATCTAATAAATTTTATAACGATTAATATTTTATAAATGTTAAATATGAAAAGTGCAATAAGCAGAAGAACCAATAAACTGTTTACCAGACTAGCGTTAGGGTAACAATATAGTAGATTGTGTAGACTGTGGTAATATTTTTAAAATGGCTAACTGCCTTATTCATAACAACTTATCAAAGGTTTATAGAACAAACTTTTTAATTTATTATAAATCATAATTGTTCTTAAAATGAATTTAGTTCAAAACACTTTGTATTGCCCCCTATTGAAAGTGTAATATATGTATTTTAACGCCTCTGTTTGTTTTAGCCAAAGCTCATCTTTCTTTCATCAAATACTTTTTTATTAATTTTCTAAATGAATAAATTTTTTCTTTATTTCCGTTAATATTAGTTACGATATATTTTCTAAATTTCTAATCATGATATTTTGCACGTTTAAAAAGTGTTAGAAACTAAATGAAGTAACAATTTCTTTCTAGAATTCTATAGCCTAAACTATAGACTATTCTACAGTCCAGACTATAGAATATTCTATAGTCCAGACTATAGACTATTCTATAGTCCAGACTATAGACTATTATATAGTCCTCACTATAGACTATTCCACAGTCCTGACTATAGCCTATTCTACAGTCCTGACTATAAACTATTCTATAGCCTAGACTATAGACTATTCTAGTGTCCAGACTATAGACTATTCTCTAGTCTAGACTATAGACTATTCTAAAGTCCAGACTATAGACTTTTCTATAATCCAGTCTATAGACTATTCTGTAGTCCAGTCTATAGACTATTCTTTATTCCAGAGTATAGACCATAGACTATTCTATAGTTCAGACTTTAGACTATTTTATAGTCCAGACTATAGACTATTATATAGTACAGACTATAGAATATTCTATAATCCAGACTATAGACTATTCTACAGTTCAGATTATAGACTATTCTATAGCCCATACTATAGAGGCCCTGGGGCCTCTAGTTTGCCAGATAATTGACTTTTATGTTTTCACTCAAAAATCGATTTTTGATGAGAAATAAAAGATTTTAAAGCTTTTTGCCCTGGGGCCTCTAGTTTAGCCAGAAAAGGAACTTTTATGTTTTCATTCAAAATTCGATTTTTGGTGAGAAATAAAAGTGATCAATGATTGCAATCTTTTTTGCCCTGGGGTCTTTGGTTTAGCCAGAAAATGGACCTTTATGTTTTCACCCAAAAATCGATTTTTGGTGAGAAATAAAAGTGATCACAGATTTCAATGCTTTTTGACCTGGGGCCTCTAGTTTAGCCAGAAAATGGACTTTTATGTTTTCACTAAAAAAATAGATTTTTGGTGAGAAATAAAAGTGATCACAGATTTTAAAGCTAGGTTTTCGATCTTTAATAAGGGAATGATCGCAAAAGATCGTGTTGTAGGAAATTTATGAGCGATTTAGAGTTTTAGTAATACAAATTTAAAATTATATTCTTTGATCCTACCTATTTTATTAAAAGAAAATCAACAATCATTTCTCCCCAGATCTCTACGCAGTCTTAATATGGAAGGTGGTGGTGATGGTGCTGGAGGAGGAGGAGATAATGATCAGCATGATCATCGTAATGAGGTCTAATAATTACAACAGCTTGTCACTCGGGAAATTCAATACAAAAAATACAACCAACCCATGGACTTTTAATGTACTAAAATAAAAAAAATATATATTAAAAAATAACAATAATTTAATAATAAATTAAATTAAACTTAATTTAAATATTATTAAGTAAAACAATAGCATTTATTTGTTTACGAAAAACTGCCTTTATATAAAAAAATTATTAACAGAAAAAACCAAAGCTCATACAGTTTAAATCTGTGATTAAAAAAATATATTTTATACCAAAAAATAATAATCACAAATTAAACAAAATTTTGATACCAAGAATATTATTATTATTTACCATACATTTTTTATAGCTTTTTTTTTTTTTTGCTCTAAGAACTTTAAATTGAAATATTTGCATTATTCTTAATTTAATAATAAAATTATTGTAATTTATAGTTTATAAATTTTAAGTTAAAATGGCTTTTAAGTAAACTGAAAAAAACACTAACCTTATTAATAAGAAAGTATTTTGTTTAAAATATTCCTTTCACACATTTAATAAAAATTTCAAAAATCTTAAAAAAAAAGAAATGCTAAAATCAAATGTGCAAAAACTTTAATTACAAACTTTTGAAAGAAATGTAAAGAGAATCGAATAAGAAACATATACAGCTTCTAAAGAATATATGTACATACAAAAATAACACAAGTCAAGAACCCTGAGCAGTAATTCCTGGGATTTTTATAGCTTCCAGTACTATAGCTGTTTACCCTAGTGTTTGTCCCACCTATAAGTTAGTTATTTAGTTAGTTAGTTAGTTAGTTAGTAGTTAGTTAGTTAGTTAGTTAGTTAGGTAGTTAGTTAGTTAGTTAGTTAGTTAGTTAGTAGTTAGTAGTAGTTAGTTAGTTAGTGTTAGTTAGTTAGTTAGTTAGGTAGTTAGTTAGTTAGTTTAGTTAGTTAGTAGTTAGTTAGTTAGTTAGTAGTTAGTTAGTTAGTTAGTTAGTAGTTAGTTAGTTAGTTAGTTAGTTAGTAGTTAGTTAGTTAGTAGTTAGTTAGTTAGTTAGTTAGTTAGTTAGTTAGTTAGTTAGTTATTAGTTAGTTAGTAGTTAGTTAAGTTAGTTAGTAGTTAGTTAGTTAGTTAGTTAGTTAGTTAGTGTTAGTTAGTTAGTTAGTTAGTAGTTAGTTAGTTAGTTAGTAGTTAGTTAGTAGTTAGTTAGTAGTTAGTAGTTAGTAGTTAGTTAGTTAGTTAGTTAGTAGTTAGTTAGTTAGTAGTTAGTTAGTTAGTTAGTTAGTTAGTTAGTAGTTAGTTAGTAGTTAGTTAGTTAGTAGTTAGTTAGTAGTAGTTAGTTAGTTAGTTAGTAGTTAGTAGTAGTTAGTTAGTTAGTTAGTAGTTAGTATTGTTAGTTAGTTAGTTAGTTAGTTAGTTAGTTAGTTAGTTAGTTAGTTAGTTAGTTAGTTAGTTAGTTAGTTAGTTAGTTAGTTAGTTAGTTAGTTAGTTAGTTAGTAGTTAGTTAGTTAGTTAGTTAGTTAGTTAGTTAGTTAGTTAGTTAGTTAGTTAGTTAGTTAGTTAGTTAGTTAGTTAGTTAGTTAGTTAGTTAGTAGTTAGTTAGTTAGTTAGTTAGTTAGTTAGTTAGTTAGTTAGTTAGTTAGTTAGTTAGTTAGTTAGTTAGTTAGTTAGTTAGTTAGTTAGTTAGTTAGTTAGTTAGTTAGTTAGTTAGTTAGTTAGTTAGTTAGTTAGTTAGTTAGTAGTTAGTTAGTTAGTTAGTTAGTTAGTTAGTTAGTTAGTTAGTTAGTTAGTTAGTAGTTAGTTAGTAGTTAGTTAGTTAGTTAGTTAGTAGTTAGTTAGTTAGTTAGTTAGTTAGTTAGTTAGTTAGTTAGTTAGTTAGTTAGTTAGTTAGTTAGTTAGTTAGTTAGTTAGTTAGTTAGTTAGTTAGTTAGTTAGTTAGTTAGTTAGTTAGTTAGTTAGTTAGTAGTTAGTTAGTTAGTTAGTTAGTTAGTTAGTTAGTTAGTTAGTTAGTTAGTTAGTTAGTTAGTTAGTTAGTTAGTTAGTTAGTTAGTTAGTTAGTTAGTTAGTTAGTTAGTTAGTTAGTTAGTTAGTTAGTTAGTTAGTTAGTTAGTTAGTTAGTTAGTTAGTTAGTTAGTTAGTTAGTTAGTTAGTTAGTTAGTTAGTTAGTTAGTTAGTTAGTTAGTTAGTTAGTTAGTAGTTAGTTAGTTAGTTAGTTAGTTAGTTAGTTAGTTAGTTAGTTAGTTAGTTAGTTAGTTAGTTAGTTAGTTAGTTAGTTAGTTAGTTAGTTAGTAGTTAGTAGTTAGTTAGTTAGTTAGTTAGTTAGTTAGTAGTTAGTTAGTTAGTTAGTTAGTTAGTTAGTTAGTTAGTTAGTTAGTTAGTTAGTATCAGATAAACTAATAAAACGTTACCAGTTCTAAATATTTTTAAACGATCCAAATAAAAACAAATAAAACAAGTAAAAATATCTTGCATAAAACAAGTAAGAATCGGTCATAGCCGATCATATGGTACATTACACCTACGAGTATGTTACAGATGTGCAGTATTTCTTAAATAATAAAGCATTTTGTTTCCTTTTACCTGAATTCTGAAACATATTAACAATCAGTTGGCAAAAATAGAGATTTTTTAAAAGACATGTTTTATCGGGGACAGAGTAAATATGGGCTCATCCTTATAAATTTTGGTTAAGGGATTTACGTCTATATTAAAGTTATTTATGCATAATTTCATCGTGATATTTGTGTTTATATATAAATTTTGACCTACAAGTCATTTTCGGAAGAGGACTTTGTATGGGGGCTAGAGTCAAATGAGGTCCTATCATTACGAAAATCGGCTTAATTTAACAAAATTATCTTGAAAATTTCTACCTTTAGCGTTGGCACAAGGCTTACATGGACTCACAGACGGGCAGACTGCCGGACGGCCATAGCTATTTCGACTCAGAAAGTGATTCTAAGTCGATTAGTATTCTTTAATGTGTAGGTGAAGGACCAATATTTTTGGATGTTACAAACATCAGCACAAACACATAACACCCTTCCCACTATAGCGGCTGTAGGGTATAAATATTAATATGGTATTTTTATTCCACCACAAATTATTACTAAGTCTCCTCTTTGGATGCAATACCACATCGAATGCTAAAAATTATTCAGTTCAAAACCTTTAGTCCGTTAAACAATAGCTACCTGCATAGATTAAAAATTATTATATTCTTGTCTTCTTAAATTTCCTTAATGATGTTTACTAATAAGTCCTCTTTCGGCTATTGTAAGGTGCGTTGATGTGCTAAGAATTAATTTCGGATAGTATTTAGTAAATAATTTATTTGCAGAAAAAATTGTCAAAGGCTAAACGAAATATTTCTAAATTTCGTAGCACCCTAATTACTAAAAACCATAATAAGAAATATTTTAGAGTTTTCGAAAACGTTTTACAAACCCCTGGATGTTCGAAATTTGTGAAAGAATTACTGCGGGCAGGTTACAATCCAAATTATGTGAGTAAAAAGTAAAAGAGCAATTAAATACTCAGTATATCTATGGATTGTACTTTAGATTAACAGGTGCTGTAAAAAGGCAGCCATTAACTATGTCACCGATTCTCAGGATCCTGATAATTTGAAAGAACTTTTAGCTCTGCCCGGCATAGATGTCGATTACAAATATTCAGAATTAACTCCTCTTAATCTGCTGGCTAAAAGACTTAACAATAAAAATGCGGACAATATCATAAAATGTATGAATATTTTACTGCAATACGGAGCCTCGCCCAATGTTTGCGATTCCAGCAAAATGACTCCACTGTGGTATGTGGTAAAAAATAATAATATAAATAAGGAAATCAAATATAGAATCATCGAAATATTTTTATCTTTAAACGATATTAAAATGGATGCCTTACTAGAGGCTGAATTAAAGATATTATTTGCTCGCTTAGACGATAAACTAACATTTGATTTCCTTTTGAGTTATATAGAAAGTGGCCAAATGGAACTATTTAAACAGCTGTATACAGCAAAAGAAGGATATATGAAAAAAGAAGAGAAGTTACAATTATTGGTAGAATCTATAGAGCGGGAGTGTCATAAGGCGTTTGATTTGATATTGGATAGTGGTTTAGACTGTAATTGCATCACCTCAGACAATACAAATCTGCTGCAAATTGCCCGTTTTTATGGCAATTCACATGCCCTCAAAAAACTTTTACAACAAAGCAACATTGTAATTCATGCTGATGACCAACTCTTGATCCATGTGGTAGTCAAATTGTGTGATAAAACTTTGCTAGATTCAGCCAACTATTGGCAATGTTTTTATATATTATTGGATTCTAGTAAAATCGATATAAATGATACTGACCCCGATAATAAGTACACCGCTCTACACTATGCCGCCAAATATGGCAACAAGAAAGCTGTTAAGGAACTTTTAAAGAGAGGAGCTTGCATTAGCCTTGAAAATCAGGAACAAGAACTAGCATTATATTATATCAGTCCTTCTCTCTTCGAAGAACATTTAGATGATTGTATATCATCCAGCGATCATAAGTTGGACGATAAAAATTATGAAATAATATTGGATTATAAAAATTTTCTTACTTCATCGCAAAAGATTAACAAAGAGATGGATGATTATTTATTACCCATACTTTTTTTTACCAGATACCAGGATTACCATTATCTGCTGCAACATCCCATCATAACCACCCTCTTGATATTCAAATGGCATAAACATTTGCAAGTATTTTTTACTAACTTTGCATTATCCGGCCTTTTAACCGTTACTATGTTCACACGGATTTGTGTTAAATTCTGTGAGCTTGATAATGAGTGTCTTAAAGAAGTTTCCATGCTATTTTCAGATATTGCGATGTTAGGCTTTAGTGCTAGGGAATGTCTGCAATTAATTTTTGCTCCCATCACGTATTTGAAATCATTTACTAACTATTTGGAAATATTGCTAATAATAGTATCCGTTATGACATGTGCCGACAATATGGATTTCGAAGTGCAACGCAATGCAGCAATATGTTGTATTATGCTTTTGAACTATGAGTTGGTGTCTTTAGTGAGCTGTATACCCAACACTTTTATCTGTACTAATTTGCAAATGTTAAAGGCGGTATTTAAAACATTCTTCAGAAGTTTTCTAATATACTCCTTTTTTCTATTCTCATATACTTTGTGTTTCTACCTTAAATATGGTAATGTAACTGACAAGAATATAGCGGAAAACTCAACCGAAAAGGACTTTAATAGATTTTCTAATCCTTTGGGGGCTTTTACAAAAACCATTGTTATGTTTACCGGAGAATTTGATGCCGGTAATTTGGAATTAGATACGATATTTGCATATTTGTTATTTCTCTCGTTTGTTCTATTCAGCATCATTTTGTACAATCTACTCAATGGCCTGGCCGTAAGTGACATCCAAGCAATTAGAGATGAAGCAAAATTTAACGACATCATTGCTCGCATCGATGTTCTCTCCCGTTATGGGAAGCTAGCTAAAAAGCGTCCATTTTTACGACCTCTTGATCACTTTTTTAAAAGTTTACGTATAGATTTAACTATCTATGGTCAAATCTCAATTTTGCCCAATAAAAAAAATACCGTACCGTTCAAAAAATTACCGGACGTAAATGACATGGAAAGTGCTCAAACTATTATGATATCACGTATGAAAAGTAATGATAAGGAAGAAAAATATTCCATAACTAAATTACTAAATTATATATATTCATTAGAGAATTTAAAATTAAATGAACATTTAGTAAATAGAGCTAAACAAATTTTGAGAAAACAAACCACTCACAGTCCAGAAAGTCGCTTAGAGAAAATAGAAGAGAAACTAGACTCAGTTCTTGAAAGATTAGCAGAATTTAAAAATATTTTATATACAAAGAAATAAAGGAAATTAACTTATTATTGTTTTTTATTTATAAACTAATAAAAATTATTTTAAAATTATTGTTTATTTAAGAAATGAAATGAATAAAACTAATATTATTAAACGCACTGGGAACTTTTAGAAGGGACTTCGAGTTAATTATATATAGATTCCAAAAACCTGTAGGACATGCGCTGTGTATTTTTGGAGTAGGAGTAAATTTAAACAAATTTTTCATAAATGTTTACAAAATAAATAGAATAATTTTAAAATCAAGTGAATTTTTTAAAACGTACGATTATTATTTACGTCTGGTATGTAATTTTTTTTCAACAAACAAACTATATGGTCAGCTAAAACAAAAACAGCTGCAGACTATACTATAGTCTAGACTATAGACTAGAATATAGACTAGACTATAGACGAGACTATAGACTATATAAACTATAGACTAGACTATACACTAGACTAGACTAGACGATTATAGACTAGACGACTATAGACTAGATGACTATAGACTAGACGACTATAGACTAGACGACTATAGACTGGACGACTATAGACTAGACGACTATAGACTAGACGACTATAGACTAGACGACTATAGACTAGATGACTATAGACTAGACGACTATAGACTTGACGACTATAGACTAGACGACTATAGACTAGACGACTATAGACTAGAAGACTATAGACTAGACGACTATAGACTGGACGACTATAGACTAGACGACTATAGACTAGACGACTATAGACTAGACGACTATAGACTAGAAGACTATAGACTGGACGACTATAGACTGGACGACTATAGACTAGACGACTATAGACTAGACGACTATAAACTAGACGACTATAGACTAGACGACTATAGACTAGACGACTATAGACTAGACGACTATAGACTAGACGACTATAGACTAGACGACTATAGACTAGACGACTATAGACTAGACGACTATAGACTAGACGACTATAGACTAGACGACTATAGACTAGACGATTATAGACTAGACTACTATAGACTAGACGACTATAGACTAGACGACTATAGACTAGACGACTATAGACTAGAAAACTATAGACTAGACGACTTTAGACTAGACGACTATAGACTAGACGACTATAGACTAGACGAGTATCGACTAGACCATAGACTAGACGAGTATCGACTAGACTATAGACTAGTCTCTAGACTAGACGTCTATAGACTAGACGTCTATAGACTAGACGTCTATAGACTAGACGGCTATAGACTAGACGATTATAGTCTAGACGACTATAGACAAGACGACTATAGACTAGACGACTATAGACTAGACGACTATAGACTAGACGACTATAGACTAGAAACTATAGACTAGACGACTATGGACTAGACGACTATAGACTAGACGACTATAGACTAGACGACTATAGATTAGACGACTATAGACTAGACGACTATAGACCAGACGACTATAGACTAGACGACTACAGACTAGACGATTATAGACTAGACGACTATAGATTAGACGACTATAGAATAGACGACTATAGACTAGACGAGTATCGACTAGAGGACTATAGACTAGTCATTTGTGTCTCATTTTCACCATAACGGAGGCTTCGAGAAGTTGTCCCACATATGCTCTTGGTGCCATTCTGCACGTTCTACCGCTACATATACATATATGGGTTCCTGACTGTGGATCAATAGTTCTGTGGCTACATAGAGCCTTTAAGGTTCTTATACCAAAAATGGACCAATGAGTTAACCCAACTTGGTGGCAGGAACATGCTGATCTACTATGGTTTACAGATGGTTCCCAACAGACAAATGGCAACTGTTTGACATATCTAAATGAACTGGGTAGATACAACAAACTCACACTTTGTGGGGAACCCGTCTATGAAGGTCACCCTGACAATGTAAGAGCAGATTGTCTGGCAAATATAGTTTATTGGAGCAGAACCAAAATGTTTTCAAGACAACTCTTAACATTAGTTAGACCATTTTCCATCTTAGTTAACGTTATATTTTAAACTTTATTTAGAGATTAAAGTACGTGTAATTATTAAAATTTCAGTGATTCTTTAGTTTGTATAAAATAATGTGTGTATTCTATTCGACGACATTAAATAAAGCAGCAGTTATTAACTATAACTTTTTTTTAAATTTATAATATGCATTGCTTATTAAGTATACATATAAATAATAAAATATAGGTAGAGATTTTATACAATTTTTATATTATTTTTAAAACTTTTTAAATGACCTTGAAACGTAAAAGAATAAAATAATAAAATATTCTTATTAATACAGTATTTTAGCTCGGAAATTAAGAAGTTAGTAACTGTATGAATATTTTGCATCAAACCACAAGAATACCACGCGTCTGCTTTAAAAATACACAATCATTCACCACAATTTACAACTGTCTGTCTGTTTTCTTTGAATTACGGAAGTTTTAGATGTATACAGCTTTTATTTCCGTCAATATGAATGAACTTTTTTTTAGATTTCCGTAAACTAATTATGGTAATATTACAAGAAGATTTGAAGTTTTCAATTTTTTTTGGGAATATTAAAGGAATCTTATTAATATTATTATATTCTATTCTCAAATTTGTTAAGATTAATTTTTTTAATTTTCGATTTTATTTTTTAAAATTCCATTTTGTTGACCTTATTTTTTAATGTATCTTGAACACATGTTCTCCTATATATGTATGTATGTATATCAACAGAAAGGTCCTTCGTATACCATTCTTTTCTTAATAGATTTATCTTTAAATAAGGTTCCAGAATGTATTCGAAACTGACTTGTGCTCTGGATGTACACAGCGGTCATAAGACCTATTTTAACCTATAGCTCATTAATATGGTAGAAACCAAGTCACATCCATCCAGTTTATACATAGTCTGGCTTGTCTTGCTATTACAAACGCTATAAGCTCAATGGCTCAGGTTAGTTTAAAGGTAATGTCTTATATACCTGCCTCCGACAGCTATACTAAATGTATTTCTGCTGAATCGACCCTTAAGCTTGTCTCATTGAAATATGAATCATCGGAATGGCACGAAGACCGAATCCAAAAACTAACCAGAGAAGACACTGTTCTACGGGACGACGCGATCTTTTCCTTCAGATTGTCTAATGCCTGCACTGATCTGGTTGAATAATAAGAATCCTACAACAACTTTGACTGTCCAGCTCTACAAGAGCTCAGGCTGAGATATCTTCGTATAACCCTCTTCATCTGGATTGTCTAGTCGTGTTTGTAATCAGTATCAGATGGTTCATTCTGGGACCATAGCAGTAAAATAAAATCTTAGATAAAGAAGAAGAAGGTGCGAAACCTTTTATGTGACTGTACCGTAATCGATACTAAAGCCAAATATCCAGATTGGACCCTTTTGTTGAGACCAAATTGGACCCTTTTCTTGAGACCAAAAGGGTCCAATCCATTATGAGCTGCTGAAAGTGGACGGCCAAATCGACACCACAGCCAAATGTCCAGGGCGCTAAGGTATTGCTCTTTATTTGTTGAGACCAAAATTGTCCAATCTATTATGAGCTGCTGAAAGTTGGACAAAACATCACAGAGAACGTATATCGAATGCAATTGATCCATTTAAAGCGAGGATTAACTGCAAAAAAAGGCCCAGAATTGAAAGATTGTCGAGTTCTTTACGTGAACACCTGCCTTAACGGCTTTATTTCCCTTTGCGGAATGACAGGCAGCTTGGGATCAATCCCAATGCAAATCCCGAACCCAATAATTGCCCCGACAAGTTGAGTGGTGGGCCTCAACCATAAGTCGCGTAGCATGAAACAATATGAATCATGTTAAGATGGCAACAGCACCGAGAACTTAACTGAAGTAAAAAGTCTACTAAATCAGACTATATAGTCTTCTGTCGGGCAGAGGAGTCTCTCCCGATCCTTCACCAATTACATCAGTTCCATTCTTAGACCATAAAGAACGATCTACGAGATGACAGGCAACTACCAAGTATCAAATTGAAAATTCCCCAACCTATACGGGCGCCCTACTACGCGAAGAGTAAGACGGGTTCAGGAATCCAGCATATGTTGCTCTGTCACATCACCCAGTGACATCTGTTGAGATGGCAACAGCACCGGAGAGAGAATCGAAACATATATGGCATTTGGATATATCAGTCCTTGAATCAAGATTCCCTTCCCCGCGTATTTGGGTTTGAACCATAGTCATTACGTGGATCCCGAAGGAACCTCAACCAACTAATCAGCCAGGACAAGTCCTGTGGGCAACTGGCCAACCGTAGTGCCAGATTATATAGTACTCTGGTAAGACGCCATGTCAAATCATGCCATTGAAAGGCCGAAGATACATTTGATCATCATCATGGTCCCGGCAGACTAGAGGTATTGGTAGCAACTCTTTTCCCCGGGATATTGCAATAACACCAATGTAACATGCCTCCGGTGGGGGACCCAGTATCATAAATTGAACCAGCGATAAATTGTTCAAAACTAGTAAGAAAGAAGTGGTTGGAAAGTTCTGCCTCACTTGCCTTACATTCCAAACTTTGACCCCTCCGACTACTAATTGTATCGATCGATTCAGAACTGGATATACGAAATTGACCTGATTCGTTCTTGTGCTGAAAGGAGTTCCTTTTAAGCGGCATAGGAAATTATGCGGTTGTTTAGAAGAAACCGAAATCAAGTCGCTACACCATTCTGAACGGAAAAGGGAAAAAATTGTACTCCTTTTATTATATTTCAAACTATATATGAGGTCATGAGTAACTCTACTCATTAGTTTATTAAACAAAAATATTGTCTTTAATTAAAAAATTTAAAATTTTTCGTTTATCTAAACAAATTCTATTTATAAACAATTTAACATGTTTAAATTTTCCGAGAACTGAATAATCAATTTCTATTTGTTATACATATTTAATTATTTATTAATTCATTAAACAAACTTGCTTAATAAGCTGAAAAATAATAAGGTGAAGTTTTCATAAATTATATCATCACCCTGAACTTGACTTTCATTACGAGACATAAACGTAACTAAAAAGTTTATAAAACAAACTATATAGAAACTTCTACTCAGTTTTCAAAACTTTTGATATCAATTTAGAAGTTTATTGTTTTTGAAATTTGAAAATAAAGAAAGAAATTTGCATAATTATTTATGAAAATAAAATTGAGTCAAATTCATATTTGAGTTATGCAAGAAACGAAATGAAAATTGAAATTTGAGTAATTAAGATTTTAGAAAAAGAAATAAATGAACAGCAGGTATGAGTTGTGCTTCAGTTTGAGTAATAAAATGCATTTAAACAACCGTTACAAAGCGGAAATTAAGCAAACGTGCGCTAAACTTGCTTAAGTAAACAACAACGCAATTAATGAAAGAAGTAGAATATTTAAAATATTAATTAAACGGAAATATAATTGAAAATAACTTAACGATTTAGTGCAACTAATATATTTAAAAAAAATCCTAGAATTTTTTTTTATTGAATGAAAAAAAAAATGAAATATTTAGTGGATAAACTAAACGTTTTATAAAAAAGATAATAAAAAAACGAATTATTAAAAAATATCTATATAAATGTTTTTAATTAAAACGATAACAAATTTAATTAAATAAACAAATAAATAAATTTCAAAATTATTACAAAAAAATCCAAAAACTTTAAAATACATTATATATTTAAACTAAATAATGTTTAGTGCTGTGTATTTGTTATTAATAACCACCCTGTATTGGCAACAAGTCAACAGTCGCCATCTTGTGTCACCCAATTATCATAGTTTACAACAACCCTATTATTTACCTTATAACGATTATGGTTATACCTATGCAGCAGCCGCCGCCGCCGGTCCTTATCAACCCGGTCCTTATCCACAACCCTATGCCCAACATTCACCTTTATATTCTCCACCAGGTACATATTTTGATCAACGTCGTGGTATTTTAAGACCATTTCCGGGAGGTGGCGTACCCGTATTAGTGGATTATGTAAGTAGTTATGCAGAGTTGTATTTTAAGAAAGGAGTTAAAATTGATTTATATTTTCTTAGCACAAACGTTGTTCGAATCAATATGTGGGCGTGAAAGCTCATCCGGAACAACATCAATATTATTATGTTTGTAAACCGGATTGTGTGATATTTGGAAAATGTCAAAATTTACAGGTGAGTTTTTAGTTTTAAGTTTGAAAAAGTTCTTTAAATTGTTGTAATGACTCAAGGACTTATTTGTTTAACAATGGATAAAGTCAAAAGTTTTGCAGTTCTCTAATACAACAACAATCTCTATAAACATTTGAAGGGTTCTGCGAAAAGGTCCAAGGAAATAAAATGATCTAAGAATAATACCTTGTGCAATAACTTCAAAATCACATAGTTTATATGAAATCTCAGGCCAATGAATTTTTAACCCCCAGAAGCCAATGTTCACATTTGTAAAGGATTAAGCTACAATAAATCTGAATCTGGAATTTATCCATGGCCCAAAGAGATAAGAATATTAAACATTGGAAGATAATTTTAAAGTCGTACAGTTTAAATGATATCTCAGACCAACAATATACATTCTATAGTTGAAATAAAGAGTCGACTTTTTCCCATTTATGAAAAGTAGATTTTTCGATTTTTTCCGGCTTTTCGACTTTTATCGACTTTTCGAATTTTTTCGACTTTTCGAATTTTTTCGACTTTTTTTTGACTTTTCGACTTTTTTCATAGACTGTAGTCGAGTTATCGACTTTTTTGGAACAAAATAGTTGACTTTGACTTTTTGACTTTTTTCTACAAAAAGTCGATTGTTCGATTATGCGCAAGTCGATTTATAAAACCCTACAATAAATCCGAAGCTGGCTTCATAATGACTCCATCACATTCGATTTTCGAGATATCGCATCCTAAATAATTTAAAATGTCCCAATCTGAAAGGCTAATCTGACGACTTTAAGGTTTAATCCCTGTTATGTCTTCCATCTTCATTAAGATATATTAACCTAAAAGTCGAAAACCTGATGTGTTGGAGAAATTCTGAGGCCAGATTCGGATTTAACAAACTTTATAAATAAAACAGTCTTCGCGCATATTATAATGTCTCAAATATGGACAAAAATGCAGGTTCTCAAATTTTAGGACACGATAGCTCGAAAATCTGAAGCGTAAAATACTGATTCGGATTCAAAGGCGTTCAATCCTTTAGGAATGTATACAAGAAGTCGGGATTTTGGATTAATGTACTTACAGGTCATCCACCTGTCGTTGAGAATGAGGCCAATTATGAAGTATAACTAATTTTTCAAAATATTGGCCATTCTTAGCCATGATCATTCTTCGTCTTTCTGGTATCATGGTATCTCCAAAAGAACTGCTCTTCTTTTGTGGACAAGAGCGCAGCAAGCCTATTTTGGATACCTTGTTCTAATGCGCTGCGTATCTCAGAAAGAGAGTTGTTCACCAGTTGATAACTGGTCAAAGTCTTAACTATAAAGCAGATGAAGCAAAACTTTCCAAGCCCATCATTTTATTTAATTTTTAACAGGTATTGAATCATGTGGCTGAGTGCTTCCACACTTTCATGTCTAGTCGCATATTCTGATCATATTTCGGGAAATATTCGCTTCAAATACAGATTCCCTGTGATAGTTTGATCAAATTTCAGCAGCTCAAAATAGATAGGACTCTTTGATTCAAAAAAATACAGAGAATTACCTTGGCACCATGGATATTTTGCTTTGGTATCGATTCGGCTAGTTGGCCGGGCTTCAAATTCGATCTCTTACGCTTCGGTTTGATAAAATTTCAGCAGCTCATAATAGGTAGAAATCTTTTGATTCCAACAAATACAGAGCATTACCTTAGTGCCATGGATATTTGGCATTGGCATCGATTCGGCTAGTTGGCCGGGCTTCAAATTCGATCTCTTACGTTTCGGGTTATCGTATCGATTCATATGTTATTGAGAGTAATGATCGCAGCAAAAATGATTTTCTTTTCAAGTAGAATTTCAGACATGCAAATTCAAAGTCTTTCTCGACTTCAATTTGTATGGTAGAGAATTTGCCAGATTTTAGATTACTCCAGCTGCTCGCAAACATTTTGAAATTACTGCTTGATAAGCTGCTAATGATTTTACAAGTTCCTGTTGAGTTTGACAACAATTTTTATGTAGTAATTCTTCCAATACTTGGACGCTGGTTTGAGCGATCTTTGTCTTTTCCACTTCTGAACTTTTAAAAAGCATTCACAATAAGCTTCGGTAAGCCATCAGTGTGCTTCAGCAGTGTATTGCAGAAGTAAAGCTATTCTTCCTTTGACGCTTTACTAGCACATAATGTTTATGCAGGACACTTCTCAGACCCAGATTAAATAATCTCTGCGAAATTCAAATAATTCAAGTAATTTCCCATCCTAAACAGATCTTCAATAACTCGAGTGGACAATGTGCTCAAAATCCACCACCTGAATATATACCCACCTGTTCAGGAGTAGGACGTTTTCCCCTCTTCTCCGATTGTCATCTCTATTACAAATGTGAAGAAGATCTACAGCCCAAAATCTATTCCTGCCCCGCATATATGGTCTTTTCTCCCGCCTCCAAGAAATGCATCAATGGTAATAAATGTACACCCACACAAATATCACCACATAGTTCTTATATACCCGAATATTGTGCCAATAAATTTCCACCCTGTTATGAAAATGGCGTATTCCGTTCGCCATCCGATTGTTCTCTATACTATAAGTGTGATTTACAAAAGAATGGTGTCTATATGCAGACAAGATTAAGGTGAGTTATAAGACTTTTCTGATCAAAGATATATTAATATATTGTGTATTTTCTTAAAGATGTCCCACTGGTAATTTCTATGATTTGCAAAAGAATGAATGTTTACCCTCAGAACAAGTGCCCTGCGATTGCATACAAGTAGCGGAATTGGTTTATCCTAAAGCGAATAGTATATCGTATCAGCCGGCCATGTATCCAGCACAATATGATTTTGATTCTTTAGAGGAGAATTTGTATCCCGTAGAACAATCGGCAGAGGGTAATTATAAACTTTTCAAGGGATTCTCAGTGATGTGTGAATAAATTTCTTTTCATATTCCCTAACAGAAATGAATATCAATTGTAATATAAATGAAACTAAAAGTGATAAGAGCGAAAATGAAGCCGAAGAAGAAGTGATTACAACTGTGGCTCCCGAGACCTCAGAAACCACTTTAGTTACAGAAGCTGTGGAACAAAACGACAGTGGAGCTGATGTTTTAACTGACTATTTGGATATTGAAAACAATGAAGAGAAAAAACAAAGCGATGAAATAGAAGAAGAAGCTCAAGACCTTATTGCAACAACTATTAGTTCCGAAGAAACAAATAGCATAGAAGGTTCTGGTTCTGAAACTGATACCACAGAGCAAAGCCTTGATGAAGAAACTTCCACAACATTGGATGAGAGTAAATCGGAAACTGATGATCCTATAATGGATACCACGGCAGAGACTGAAGAAGTAGAAGCAACTTCTGCAACTACGGAAATTACTGAAGAAGAAACAGATCAGCCAGATGTACTAATAGAAGAAACTGAACGGGAAACTGTAAAACCCTCTATGGAGGAGGAAAATGAAGTAATAACATCCACTACGGCAAAAGAGGAAACAACTACCACCTCCACCACAGTTTTGGCAAAAACCACAGATATGCCAGACAAATCGGTGAAACCAGAACCCTGCGAAAATATGATAGAAAGTGATGAAAGTAATGATAAACCCTTGCCCACTGGTATGTATATTTGTAGGATTTTCAAAAAAAAGTTACATTTCTAAGGAACATCTCCAACATTACTAATTCAAAACATTTTTTTATTGAAAATCTATTTTTTTGTTTTAAAAACTTTTTGCCAAAATAAATTTCAGATATTCCCTCCAAAGACATTTCACAGACACAAACCAAAACTTGTTTACCCAAACTCACAACCACTAGTTCAGATTCTGTTAAAGTCGAAACTGAACCCAAGAGTACAACACTTGATACGGCATTTACACGAGGTTCTAGAAGTACAATACTTGAACAGAACTTAACAACTATTACACCCACTGTCACTATCACCACTACCACACAATTACCCACCACTTTAACGACCACCACCGAGGACAGTTTGGAAACTACTCAACTTCCACAAGAAACTGTTTTAGACTTAGAAAAGGATAGTTTAGTAAACGAAGAAGCGGAATCGAATCTTTTGGACTCTGAAACTAATTTGGAAACGGCAGAGACAACACAATCATCGGAGAAAACTACAGCTGTTACCAGGGAAACTACTCATAAGCCAGAGACAGATACAGCAGATTACCTAGAAGATAATAACATAAAAGATGAGGAAGTATCCAACTCAGAGGAGCAGGAAACAGATCTTACCACCTTGCAAACTCCTGCAGAAGATAACAAACAATTTACTCAAACTATACACACACGATCAGTGGAATCTTCTTCTTTAGAAGATGATATATCTTATGATGATCTTTCCGATTTTACGGATAATGATATAACTTCGAATACTATACAAACCACCACCAAACAGCCGGTATCAGATCCAACATCTAAAGATTCCGAAGAATCTAGTCTAGAATCTGAAATATCACAAGAAAATGATATTGCTAGCACACATTTTCCACAAGAAAGTAAAACGCTAACAAACGATATTGAATCTACTCCTTTAGAATTCACGGAATCCCAAGAAAATAAGGAAAACCTAGAAATATTAACAACAACAACTACTACAGAATTACCACAAACCGAAATATTACAAACCACTACCGAAACCTTAAGCCTTAATACAGAAGAGAGCACCGATAAACCCTCAGACATGGACGAGGAGATTGCTTTACTAGATTCTGAAATAAATATAGACAATTTTGAAAGTACCACACTAATGGCGGAAGAAAATGGGAACACAAACTCCATGGAAAATGAAGAATTTCTAAATACCAGCACTTTAGAGAATGAAGAACTTTTACCGCTGACTAAAGCTAAACCCAATGAAGAGCACAAATCTTTAAATGAAAAATCGGTTACTTTAAGACATGCCGATTTTAGTGGGGAAGAATTTCTACCAGTTCATAGTAAAACCACAAATATGGATGCGTTAACAGATCAAACCACTGATTTTAATTATATAACTGAAAAGTTTGAAGATGATTTTGATGATGATTATACTACTGTAATAGGGGATAAAGAGGCCACAACTAAAGCAACAGTTGGTGGGGAACTAAAGGAAATTGAAGAGGAAAAGAAGGATGAAATTAAAACCTCCACTCAGGAAGATATAGAGACAACTACCTTACCAACTGATAGTAAAGAGCTAAAGGAACTAGAGGAAATTTCGAATTCTATTGAAACGGAACACACCACCACCCTTAAGAGCAAAGAAAAGGACGCAACTACCACACCAGCAGTTACACAAGAACAAACTGAAATACAAGAAATTTCCAATTCCATAGAAACGGAAAAGAAAGATGAAGATAAAAGCACCACCATCTTAAAGAGAAGACAAACTTCTCCCGAAGATACAACCCAACTAACCACCGCTACACCACCCATACAAAATACATTAGCAGCAGACCCCACCACTACAACTACGGCAGAAAGTTCGACAATCAAAGAAGAAACTTTAAACGATGTGGATACTTCCGATGATATATTAGCTGTATTGGATTCTGAAATCGAGCTACACGAACAAAGCGATGAAGTAAGCAATAATGAAATTACTTCTGACGAAACTACTACCGCAAAGCAACAATTTCCTCACACTCACTCAACTACGTTTACGCCCACACAAACGCCCACTACTACACCCAAATATACAACAACAACAACAACAAACACTATCGAAAACACTTCTGAACCATGTGAAAAACACTCAAATCCTTTAGTCCTACATGTTAGAGATGAAGATCAAAAAACACCAACAACACTACTAGACTCTCCCTCCCCCAGCAAAAGTTTATATTATATTTTAAAAACTAAACCAGTGATAAATACAAATAAGAATTGTCATACTTGCAACAATAATAATAATATTAATAAATCTTGTAATGTAACAGTTGCAGCCCCGCCATGTGTTGAAAACGATAATGGAAAAATACCACGTTTAGAGATTATAGCCGAACGTCCTATCGATGTACATTTCTCTGTATGTCCTTCCACTTGCGATAAAGATCACAAACATAATTGTAAGTATAGAAAATTATCATTTTTATAAGTTCTATTAAATATTTCCCCTTTTTTATACTAAATAGTTGCCAATAATCGTGCTGTTTTCCTAAGATGGTTTGCTAATAAATCGAAACAAACTATGGGCTTTGAGACCGTTAATGAAGTGAATACTAGCGATGCTAAAGACTGTTGATAATAGGATGTTTGTTTCTTTTTTTTAATTTAATGTAATTTAATTATCATTTTAAGTTTTACATTTTATTTAGTTTTTAAGAAATTTAATTTATCGAACTGTCTAAATAAAATAATCCGCAAAAAAAATTGAGAATCAAAAAATTGTCTCGTGTTAGCACTGAAACATAAAAGTCCTATTTCTAGCTAAATTAGAGGTTCCAGGGCAAAAAGGATTAAAATCTGTGATCAGTTTTATTTTCCACCAAAAATCTATATTTGAGTTAAAACATAAAAGATTGAATTTTCGAACGTAAGATGCAAATCTGTTGAAGCATAAGTTTTCTCAACTCATAATAACAATAAACATAATAATAGTTGAATCATGTTTTTAACAAAATTTTTGTTAACATTTATTTTATAATCATTATTTGCTGTTATTTTTACTTGTTAATATGTATATTTACAAAATTCCTATAAGAACGCGCCAAATGTATATTTATTTCCTGTCAAACTCTTCCCATCTGAGCGTCATTTCACATTTGCTAACCATTCACTGAGAACTAATAACACTACACATGCCAACTGCAGCCAACTTCACTTTAATTCATGAGTTTGTTTTGGTTCTTCTTTTTTGTTACGGAAAATTTTTAAGACCACAAAAAAAAGTATTTTTTTGTATATTAATTATTCAGAATTAATTAACAAGGCATTTTTTTTAAATAAACACAAGAAAAACAAGTTAATAAAGTTTATAGAAATCTAGTTATAACATAAAATGTGGACTAAATTCAATGAGTATGTTTAGTTTTCTTAAAATGCAAACATACCAACAACAACAAAAAAAATTTTGTACAGAATATAGTCAATCGGTCGGTCGGTGTGTGTATGTTTGTTGTAATTAATTAAATTAAAGAGACCTTTAATTACGGATGAAGTGTTGACGTTTTTTTTTTTTGCGCGTGTGTATTTATTATTGGGGAGCTTGTAATATTGTGTTGGTTTTTCATTGTCTATTTAGCAATATGATGGATGAACAATTAATCGATGAAGTGGCCCACCATGCTGTCATATACAATCGACAAAAGTATTATCTTAATGGCAGCACAAATGGCAATGGCCCGGTAGCGGCTAATAAGTATGAAACAAAAGATGAGGCTTGGTCCTCGATAGCAATGAAGTTAAGAAGTGATGGTGAGTACTTTTTTTTTATTAACGAGGTCTTTGAGCAGCTTTATAAAATAGTTTTTTAACTTTTAGTGGAAACTTGCAAAAAACGCTGGAAATATTTGCGAGAACGTTATGTGAGTCAACGTAAACAGGGTGATCCTCCGGTCTATGAGCACTTATCGAGACCGTATTTGGAGAAAATGAAATTCTTAGATTCGCACATACAACCCAGAAAATCGTATAGAAATGTACCGAACTTTTTGACCTCTCCCCATTCGGCCAACAGCTCCAATTTTAATGACTACAATATGGATTCCAAGTCGAATAGTTCTATGAAAAGTATGGGACATTTTGGTCAACATGGACATCATTTCCCTGACCAGCAACATGCTATGAGTGCTTTGAGTTCTGCAGCCGCTGCGGCCTCAGCTTTAGAGGGTGATAGCCGTGTTAAACTAGAAGCTGATCAAGTATTTCGAGATTTTGCCGCAGCAGTGGCTTCACAGCATCTACAGCAGATATCTCAATCACAAATGCAACATCAGCAGACTGTGGCTGCCGCCATGGCAGCCGATTCTTCACAAAATTACAATGATCACTTTCGTGAAGCTGCCGGCTCAGCTTTGTCTTCTGTTGTGGGAGGAACAGGCAACTTAAATGGCTCTGCCGTTGCTGCAAATACAGGCAGTGGTTTGCATTCGTCTTCTTCATCCATAAAGTCACCTTTATCATCGCCTTTAGGAGCTTCTAATCATCATAATGGCAGCACGAGTGCTGGACACTCAACCCCCCAACAAGCCGCTGCACATTCCTCTTCCTCCAATACGCCCGGGAATGCAGCCACCAATAATAATACTAACCATCACTTTAATAACCATTCCTTTAATGATTCCCATAATGATGATATGGATTCCTCCACCTCTAGTAATTATAATATGAAAAAACCACGCGTACAACTCAATACTAGTGCAGCAACAACTACAGCCACCACACAACTGCAGCAGCAACAGCAGCAGAACACTAGCAATAATAGTCATCACAATTCCCACAACAATCTCAACACTAGCAGCAACAATAACTCACACTTTGTAGACGATTCTGATGATGATGATACCGATGACAACAGCTCCTCTTTGTTGCAACCTCAGGCCATGCTTAATGAACATCATACCGCCGAAAATCCTTTTCAAACTATGGCTGCCACCACCTCAAATGCTGCACTACAGCGTTCTCACTCTAACTCCTCTATGAACAATCAAAATAACTTGGGCAACAGCAATATCAATCACAATAACAACTCACAGGCCTCATCTTCCAATATGTTTTCCTCAAATGCTGATTTTCTCTTTCAACTCTATCAACAATTGCCTCAACATCATCACTCGCATCAGCAGCAACAGCATAATAGTAATGTAAGTCCTACACAACAGTTTAATAAATTCCAAGTGCCACCTACACCACAACCAAGCATACAGCGTAGTTCGGAACATTTATTGGGCGAACTAGTGACAACGGAACTTTTGAAAATGTCCAAGGAAAGACGTAAAAATGTGCAGAAACGTATTTTGGAAATATTATTCTTTGACGACTAAGCAATGCGTTAGCGAGAAAGGAGATTTTAAAGACTCAGTTTTTCTACTACATATGAACTATTATAATTATATATAAAAGAAAAGAACAAAAGCATATCTTAAGATATTTCCATATACAACCAGGTCTTTGAAAAGGCGCAAAAAGACACTAACTTAAGTACATAATGTTAAAACATAGCGTTTCAACTTTTTTGTTTTATTTTCATGTAGCCAGTGTTAAGATTTAAAGTATTTCATTTTTAATTTTTACCATTTGTTTTAATGTTTATTAAAGTATTCATTCCACTTTTTTATGCAAAAAGTAAAATTTTAAAAAAAGGAGCAAAATATCCCACCTATTTTTAAGTAAAATATATTTTAATTTGTTTTAAACTTAAGATGCGTATTTTATTTGATATACAACCTCTATTTTGTCTATGTACTTCCTAATTTCTAGTCAGTATATTTGTCATTAATTTCCAATATTGTATTTTTTTCCCATCACCCAACCAGCTAGATTTATTAAATGTATTTATCTATGACTTTTAGTTAAGAAAGTAAATTTCTTTTTATTAAAACTATTTATAATATATTTTTTAAGCTAAGCTTTAATGGTTTTATGTTAAATAATGTAATATTTAATATAAAAAAAAACTACATAATATACATATATATTTAATAAAACTAATAAAATTATATAAAAAATAAAACAAATGAGACATATCCAATCATTTAATATCAAACTACAGTTTAGTCTCTAATCTAGTTTGTAGTCCAATCTGTGATAGATTATTCATTAAAGATTATCTGTAGTCTTGTTTAAAATCCAGTGTAGTCGATATTCCTGACTATAGTCTAGTCCAGACACTTGTCTAGTTAATAATCCTGAATGTAGTATATTCCAGATTATAGTCTACTCTATAGTTCAAACCGGATTATTTACAGTCCTGGCTATAAACCCATCTATTGTCCAGACTATAGTATTTACTCCAGACTATAGACAACTTTAAATTCTAGACTATAGTCCAAATCTACCCAGACCCTAGTTTAGTACACACTATAGTCTAGTCTATAGCCCAAACTATTAAAGTCTGGCTATTCTATAGTCCAGACAACAGTCTACTCTATAGTTCTAGTATGTAAACTAAAATCTGGTCGATTGTCCAGATTACAGTCGTGTCTAAAGACAAGTGTGGTCTATAATCTAGACTAGTCTATAGTTCAGACAATAGCCTATACTCCAGATAGTCTATAGTCCAGACTATAATCGAGTTTAAAGACAATTACAAAAACTACAATCTATATTCCAGTCTATGTACTATTCTGTAATTTACACTAAAGAATAACCTCTAGTACTGTATTCCCCACCACATTCTAAACTCCTGTCCATATCGTAGTTAAATCTCTAATCAACTCCACTAGGAGCCATTCATAGATTCCCATAAAGCTTTACATTTTGTTGTGGCACTATTAAATACGTATGTGTGTATGTATGTATATCTTCTACAATATGACTTACCCTAAAGTTGCCGCCAAATTTGTGGACTATACTTTAAAGTATAGACTATAGTCCAAATCTACCCAGACCCTAGTTTAGTATATAGCCCAAACTATTAAAGTCTGGCTATTCTATAGTCCAGACAACAGTCTACTATATAGTTCTAGTATGTAAACTAAAATCTGGTCGATTGTCCAGATTACAGTCGTGTCTAAAGACAAGTGTGGTCTATAATCTAGTCTAGTTTATAGTTCAGACAATAGCCTATACTCCAGATAGTCTATAGTCCAGACTATAATCGAGTTTAAAGACAATTACAAAAACTACAATCTATATTCCAGTCTATGTACTATTCTGTAATTTACACTAAAGTATAACCTCTAGTACTGTATTCCCCACTACATTCTAAACTCCTGTCCATATCATAGTTAAATCTCTAATCAACTCCACTAGGAGCCATTCATAGATTCCCATAAAGCTTTACATTTTGTTGTGGCACTATTAAATACGTATGTGTGTATGTATGTATATCTTCTACAATATGACTTACCCTAAAGTTGCCGCCAAATTTATGGACTATACTTTAAAGTATAGACTATAGTCCAAATCTACCCAGACCCTAGTTTAGTATATAGCCCAAACTATTAAAGTCTGGCTATTCTATAGTCCAGACAACAGTCTACTCTATAGTTCTAGTATGTAAACTAAAATCTGGTCGATTGTCCAGATTACAGTCGTGTCTAAAGACAAGTGTGGTCTATAATCTAGTCTAGTCTATAGTTCAGACAATAGCCTATACTCCAGATAGTCTATAGTCCAGACTATAATCGAGTTTAAAGACAATTACAAAAACTACAATCTATATTCCAGTCTATGTACTATTCTGTAAATTACACTAAAGTATAACCTCTAGTACTGTATTCCCCACTACATTCTAAACCCCTGTCCAGATCATAGTTAAATCTCTAATCAACTCCACTAGGAGCCATTTATAGATTCCCATAAACCTTTACATTTTGTTGTAGCACTATTAAATACGTATGTGTGTATGTATGTATATCTTCTACAATATGACTTACCCTAAAGTTGCCGCCAAATTTATGGATTCCCCAACAACATAAGTTCTTATAATAAGCAAGTCATCAGGCTTTTCTTTTTTCACTTGTAAGATTTGGAACAAATCAAAATGTTCGATTAAGTTCATATTTTTAATGTTTATTACACTTTTATGATTTTGAGCACCGAACATATTCAATATAACACAGAAAATTACTATTTTATTTTTTTTTTTTATTCATTAATAATCAAAAAGCCTTCATTTTATAAATATTTTATTTTTGCGATTTCTAGCAAACAGAAATTTCTTATTGATAATTTTATTTGCACAATAATTTAAAAAATTGCTTTTAATAAATACTTTTTATACAATAACACAACACTTTTTCTTTATTATATGATTTAAATTTAAATAAAAATCACTTCAAGAATTACAAAAGTTACTGTTAACGAGAAAAAAAAACTAAAAGCTAAACTGGTGTGGTGAATTTGCTTGTTAATTTAAAGCTATCACATCCCAGTGATTTTCGTATATTAAAATGCAGTTCTGCATGGTGGTAAACAATAATGTATAAGTAGCGGGTTTTACTTATAATAAGCCTATACAATGTTTCAGCTTATAAGAGTAGTTATTATAAGTTTTTTAATCAATTTAGTTTTGTAAAAATAAAAGAAAGCTGTAGTTAACTTATTTATGGTTGAATAGTTTAATTTCGTACTTAAAAAATACTTTTATACTTTTTTAGCAATTTGCAAGGTAGCGTTTTTTAGAAAAGCATTGATAACACTAATCACACTACAAGTTAGTGTTGTAAAATGTTAATCAATACGATTACTCAATAACTATGGGTTTTTAGCTAAAGCATTTTATATATTTAATATAAATTTAAACTAATAATTTCTTCAATTTAAAAATAATAAATTTTGTTATGTTTCTATTTATATTGCAATAAATTTATTTTTTTTGTTTCATACTATAAAGTAACCAAAAATATTATTCCCAACAAATAAAGTACTCAGTAATCAAATACTCCTTATTTTTACAACTCTACTAAGCCAACATAGCAGAGTATTATTTTTTCGTGGTCACATTCACAGCTGCGTGTATAGCTAATAAAACCTGAAATAAATGATTAAAATAATAAATAATTAAAAAAGTTTTAATAAAATAAGAATAATTAAATTACTACAAAAATAGTCAACTAAAAAATTATGTTAAAATTTTGCAAATAATCTATTGAAAATCTTTAAAATCAAAAGTGTGCTACACCTTAGATTCTGCTCATACGCTGCTACGTCAACGGCAGCGAAAATTTATATGTACGTGAAGTGCGCCAGGTTTTTATTATTGTTGTTGTTATAAAAGCAGCAAACGCGCGCGCGTTTATTTTCTTTTTGCCTCTCTTTTTTCGTAGTTATCAGCTGTGGTTAAAAAAGAATTTTATGAACTTTTTGAAAAAAATACCAAAATTTATTTAAATTAAGGTAAATATTAATATTTTAATTGGATTTATTGTTGTTTTTATATATTAAATATTGTGAAGATATTGTTTCTTTTTTATAAAGAAGAAAAAAGTGCAGTAATTGCTGTCGTTGCTAAAATGTTGGTGTTAATGTTTCTTTTGTGTTATTCAATTTTTTTTTTTTTTTTTGGGAATTTTTCAAAATTTTTTCTTAAGACATTTTTGTTATTTAATTCTAGATAAATGACTTCTTTTAAACAAAATTATAATTGTATCAAGTTTAATTATGACTCGGAAGCATCTTCAGGTGCTGGGGTAAGTTATGGACCAAGATTTCTAAATTTTAAGCTGAAACATAAAATCATTCCATACACACATACCCACCCATACATACCCTCATCATAATATACAAATTTCATATTAATGTTTTTTACATACTTACAATTACTAATTAAGTGAAATTTTGTTGTTTTTATGTCACTAATATCGCTTTTTCAATTCTAAAATTATCACTGTGGGTTGCGGTTTCCAAGTATTATGTATACATACTGTATACAACACTGGAAACTTGTTTTGTCTTGTTGGAAGTTTAAAAAATTGAATTTTTTGATCGGCATTCCGAGTGTTCACAGATCTTGTTATTGTACTTATCCAACTAAACGCTTATTAACAAAAATATTAACATCTAGACGATATTTTAGTCACTAGCGCAGACTATAGTCTACTTTCCAGTCCGGACTATAATTCCTTTCTATTCTAGACTATAGTCTAGTCTCTAGACCAGACTGTAGTCTTGTCTTTTGTTCCAAGTATAGTCTTGTCTCTATTGCAAACTATAGTTTCCCCTCTGGTCCAACATATTGCCAGGTTTAGTCTATAGTTTAGGCTATTATATAGTCTCTAGCCTAGACTATAGTTTAGTATATATTTCCGACTATAGTCGAGTGTCTATTCTAGACTACAGTTTTGTCCATAGTTCAGACTATAGTCGCGTATTGTTCATCTAGACTATTGTCTCTTCTCTAGTTCAGACTATAGTCTAGTCTGTAATCTAGATTACAGTAGAATCTCTAGTCCAGAAGAGTTTCTAGTCTCGTCTTTTGTCTAGTTTTGACTCCAAAAAATAGACTGCAGTCTACTCTGTACTCCAGATTATAGTAGTGTCTCTAGTCCAGACTGTAGAATCGTCTCTCCAGACTATAGTCTCTACTCCGAAGTATGTATATAGTCTGGTCTCTTTTTCAAAGTATAGTTATAATTTTCATTTTAAGTTTTCCAAACTAAAGAATTTCTATGCTTTTCTCCATAACCTACTAACTTTGACTCATAAAATAAAGCACTTAACAAAACAAAGACTAATTTTATACATTGTAAATCCCCTAGTAAGTCAAAATCTTTCAAAACTTCTACAAATATTAACATCAGTTAAAGGATGATTGTATGAAACATATCCAATATTCCGCTTAGATTTTACACTAAACATTTAGACATTTTTTGGAGATAATTTAGAGAATCATTTCATTTCAATCATTCCATCGAAATACAGATCATTCTTCTACAATAACAGTCCACTTATAGGGCAGATTGTATATTAAAACACTATTCACAGCTGACGTGCTT